ATTTAGACTGGACCGTTGAACTATTGACCCAAAAACCGATGGTCAAAGCGGTTTTAATTCTGAATCGGTTTTTAAAATATTGAGTTACATGCATGACCCCTTAGATCTTCTGGTGGCAATGCAATGTATATCAAGTATTTGATATCAACCCTAAATATCTTCCATACCATTTTTCTTTATTTTATATTAATTTGTTAAGTTATTAGTTGATTTAGTTAAGGGGCTGTCAGCTGGATAATGGCTAAAATGACTTAACTAAATCGACAAGTTATCAAGGAAGCTATGATCTCCTTGGCTGGAGCTGAAATAGGGTTGATTACTATATCCTTAAATATTTTATTATTTAATTATTTTATTCATTAAAACAAAAAGACTACAGTAATTTGCAGCCCTCGAAACCAATAAAGGCTTGCACAAGCTTCTAGAGTATCAAAGGACTCCACGCACCATAGAAAGTGAGTTTCCACATCAAACTAATCACCACACACAATCACAAACTTGCTAAATTCAACACACATACTTGTACTTACGTGTAGGGCTGCGGAAAAGAGGAACTTAATACACCATCACAAACACCTTAAACCGACCAACTCAATGCACTAAAGCCTCTTTTCCTACGGGACAACTAGGCCTTTTTCAGTCCCTTTAGCAACTTGTCATGAAAAGAAGTTCTCAACTCCTAGGGCACAAAATAGAGGCATGAATAGTAATCCATAAGTTCATAGCTCTACTACCATGTTATTATTTGTAAATAAAGTAGAAAAATAAAGAGAAAAAGGAAGAAAAAAGTTAGGAAAGTTGTATTGCACAATTGAAAGCAAAGAGAAAGTAGGAAGAAGAAGAAAAGTGGGTTTCAAGGAAGGAATACAAACAGTATATCCCTTCTTCTTGACCTGCACTATAGTTCATTAAACATGTAGAGGCATGAATAGTAATCCATAAGTTTATAGCTCTACTACCATGTTATTATTTGTAAATAAAGTAGAAAAATAAAGAGAAAAAGGAAGAAAGAAGTTAGGAAAGTTGTATTGCACAATTGAAAGCAAAGAGAAAGTAGGAAGAAGAAGAAAAGTGGGTTTCAAGGAAGGAATACAAACAGTATATCCCTTCTTCTTGACCTGCACTATAGTTCATTAAACATGTAAAAATTACAAAAATGCCCCTATTAAGTGATTTTTAACAAGGGAATACCATATTACATCAAATAACTAAAATTCCCTTGTATGCAAACATTTCAACAACACTAAAATAGAGGGATATTATGTGGAATAAGATTGATGCTTTGCATAAGAATAAACCTAGGACATTGCAGATTTACCTAAGGGGAACGAAACAGTTAGTTGTAAGTAGGTATACACTATCAGGTACCATGTTGACAATACTATGAAAAGTATAAGGTCCATTTAGTAGCTAAAGAGTACATTCAAATGTATGGAATTGACTATTTGGAGACCTTTGCTCCTATAACAAAAATGACCTTAGTTCGGGTTCTTTTATCCTTGGTAGCTAGTTTTGACTGGGCCCTGTATTAGTTTGATGTCAAGAATGGTTTCTTAAATGAAGAACTACATGAGGAAGTTTATGTCTCTTATCTCCAAACTTGTATGGGAAAGAGATGCAAGGGAAGGTGTAAAAATTAAAAAAAAAAAAAATCCCTTTATGGACTCAAATAGTCCCCCATAGCTTGGTTTGAAAGGTTTTGGGCTGCCCCTATCACTTTTGGATAAACACAAACTTAGTCTAATTATACCCTCTTTGTCAAGAGGAGAGACTCTTTGGTGACCTTTCTAATTGTTTATGTTATTAATATTGTGGTTACTAGTAATGATGTCCAAAAAATTCATAGCCTCAAGAAGTTTCTCAACATTGAATTTCAAATTAATGATTTAGGGGAGTTAAGGTATTTTTAGGGGATAGAATTTGCTTTGTCAAAGGGAATTATATTCATTTGTCAAGAAAAGTATGCCTTTGATCTTCTTATCAAGACTGGAAAACTTAGGCCCTGTTTGCTTTTTGGTAAGTTACTTACCTGGGTAAGTTTTCTCTGGAAAACACTTACCCAAGTAAGTGTATTTACCAATGTTCTTTTATTTCCCAAGTAAAAAAAAAGGAAATAACCATTTTAGCCATAAAAATCCATTATTAAAATGGGCGTTTTTGTCCCATTCAAGTGTTGGAAACTTTCTCCCTGGTGGGAAAGTTATTTATCCACCTAGGAGATGGGTATCACTTACCCTACACAGGAAAATAAACTTTCCCTGATCCCCACATTAATCGGAAAAAAGAACATGGGATTCTTGGTCAATGGGAACCAAAAGTCCAATGACTAATTTTCTCCCCTCTCAAAATCCAAAAAAAAGAATGCCCCCTTAGAGTCAAACCTACTTCTACACCTATAAATTTAAATCACAAGCTCTTAACTACTGATGGTGAATTATTGACTAATAAGGGAGTGTTCTAGAGACTGTTGAGAATTTATCAAGGTTTTAAAACCGTTGTTGACCAAAATAGTTGAACTGCTTGACTCAGGAACCGGTCAAGGTAGCAGTTTTGTTTCACCCTTGAACCGGTTTTCTTAAAAAACCATTAAACTAGTCAAATAACCATTGACCTGGACGGTTGAACCATCAAATTGTTCAACACGGGTGACAGTTCATGGGTTTCTAAACTTGAAATAAACTTAAAAAAAAAATTGCAAAAATAAATTTTTCCCCGAACTCTCGATAGACCCATTTGACAAATTAGGGATTTTTCTCATTTTCTTTCTTCCTCTTAAAGTCTACAACAGTTCATTTCTCTCCTCCAACTCTTTTCATGTTCTTCAATGTTAATCTTCTTCGAGATTTGATTAGTTGTGGTATGCTTGCAGCGACAACATTTTTTGGTGGCAGCAAACAAAATCGGCAACATGCAACCACTGATCGGGGTTTTCTTTAAGCAAGAACCTCTGGATAGTAGCAAAGAGGTACAAAACCAGTAGGTCCTTGCAGGTTGCAGTAGGAGGTTTAGGTAAAAGAGTGACCTTTGGGCAGCAGTAAACTTGTGTCAAAGCCACCTAGGGTTGATACTTGGGTTGCAGCGGCAACCTTCAGTTTTAGAGTTTCAATTTGCAACAAAGATTTCTTAAAAAGGTGGTTCTTTCTTCCTTTGACTTCTTTGGTTCTCCCAATTTTTCTTTTTTAATTTCAAAATGCCCAATCTTAACTGCACCTTCCATTGATTATTCTCAACAAAGATTTTCCTCTTTCACTTTTCACTCTTGATGATCACCTTTCGTTCACTAACAAAAGGATTTTCAGTCTATAATAGAGAGTTTTCTATATGTAATAGTCTAATGTCTAATAGAGAGGTTTTCAATTTCAAACAGGTTGAACTATTCAATCCAAACGGTTGAACTATTGACCTAGAAACTAGAGGTTATAATGAATTCATTTCTGGGTCAGTTTTTAAAACCTTGGAAGTTAATGTACATTTTCATCACTTGGTTGGATATTTCCTATGAAGTAAGTGTAATCAGTCAATTCATGCATACTCTCTTAGAGATATTCATATGGTGGCTGTTAAAAGATTATTGTGTTACTTGAAGGGAACTCCAAGGAAATATATTTTTTTTGCCAAACATGGACATAAAGTTGGAGGTATATACAAATGCAGATTGGGTCAATTGTATTGATGGCAAAATATCCACCTCAAGTTCAAGTTACAATGCTATGGCTGTAGGAAACATTGTTCCATAGAGGAGTAAGAAGTAGCCAGTGATGGCTAGATCTTCTACTAAGGCAGAGTATAAGACAATGACTCATAGAATATCAGAGCTATTATGAGTTTATGACTTAGATCTCTTTTAGAAGAATTGGCCATTGATTATGAAAAGCTGATGATGCTATATTGTGACAATCAAGTAGCCATCAACATTATTCATAACCCTATTCAACATGTTAGAACAATGCATATTGAGATGGACAGACAGTTCATATGGGAGAGAGTTGCTTCAAGAAAAGTTTGTTTTTCATTTGTTGTTTTTGAAGAACAAATAGATGATACTTGTGTCAAAGCTAATGATGTTATATTGTGACAATCAAGTAGCCATCAACATTATTCATAACCCTATTCAACATGTCAGAACAATGCATATTGAGATGGACAGACATTTCATATGGGAGAGAGTTGCTTCAAGAAAAGTTTGTTTTTCATTTGTTGTTTTTGAAGAACAAATAGATGATGTCCTGACCAAGGGAGTTCCAAAAGGAAAGATATTACATCATATAAACAAGTTAGGCATGATTGATATTTATGCTCAATTTGGGGGAGAGTGTAGAGAAACTTGGTTGGATGGGCCCTAGTATCTTTTTATTTCTTATATTTATGTTAATGGGCCTTATCCGTATGGGCTTATTAACTATTTCTTTCATTCCTTTATGCCATGTTATGAGCTAGCAGCTAGGGGTGTCAATTGGACCGGATTTGGGCGAAATCAATCCAAACATATGTCCATTTACAAATAGACTGGACCAAATCCAGCCCAAATCCATACAAACGAGATCTAATTGAGTCCAACTGAAATGCAAATGGACCAGATAGGACCCAATTCAGTCCAAACAAAATAAAACTTCAAAAATTACATAAAAACAAAGAAAATTAAAAAAATGCAGAAATATATTAAAATTTTCACAAAAAATCTAAAAATTTGCCTTCCTCATTTTGTTTTTCATCTTTTCTAATCAAATGTCTCATACATGATGCAATGATGCATGGAACCTTTAACACTGAATGTTTTCTGCTCTTTGATTGACCATACAACTACTAACTGAAACAAAAAATGAAACACCACGATATGCAGCCAAAAAAATATCTAAATGTGGGGCCTACAAATTTTTGAAGCTCAAATGGACTTTGTTAAACTTATGTGGATCACTCTATAGTTTCAGAACAGAACATGCAATTGAATAGACTTGAATAGCAGCAAACTATAAAGAACCAGCAGTTGTACATGCATGACCTTATCCATTAAACTTAAGGATGGACTCTATTCTATGATTTTTTTTTTTTAATTAAGACTTGCAAAAAGGGTATTTTACAAGACTAAGATTTTCCTTAGGATACATGCTGCAATCATGCCCATCAATACAAACCATCCAATCGATGGGTCAGTTATGAAAATTCACCATGAATCAACCTAATCAATTGACCCTTCTGTGAGGCAACTGATTGTACTAGAAATCCTTCTTTACACACCATACTCATTAGTTCAACAAACATCATGCCGGACTCAAGCTCCTCAAAAACCTTCGATGCAAACATGTAACCTCTACAACCACCTTCCAGGAAACAAATATCCTGTCTGCTCTTGCTTCTAAACTCCCAGCTGATTTTCCTACACAGGAGACATCATATGTTATTAGATGACTTGAGCTTTTCTTTCTTCTTTTATCCACTGATCAATAACTAGACAACTTGAAGGAAAAACACAAATTGAACTATTTCTCAAAATATATGGAATTATATCATGAGTGAGAAACATGCTAATTCCACTAATACTAAAGAATTGCAACAAAATATAAACATAAGCACATAGGCACAACAAAGTGAAAAAGCAAAACTGCATATCTAAAACGTTGTAACCAAAGTAGTTGAGAGACCTTGACATATCAGGCCTCACATGCCAACGATGGCAGAGCAAAATTAACTATGTTAGATAGCCAGAGAAACATGCCAGTTGCCACAACTCACAAGTCACAATTGAATGGCTAAAAGGTCACATAACCCCACAACTAAACATCCACCAAGAACCAACACCTGTTGCAATCTGTACTGTGAGGTTCTGGCACCAATGAGCAATGGACCAGAAGTAAGACAGAAAAGGTATAGAAAGGAAAGCTAGCTGCTATTGCTCCAAGATAATTTCCAAGGGCAAAGTTCATTGGGCTTGGGGAGTTCCATGGTTAATCAAGAAGTGAAAGACAAAAACAAACAAGATGATTAGGTGATCATGTCTATCAGAATTTTGGGTCAAGATAAATATGGAAGGAGGATGCAAAAGCAAGGGCATTCATAGAGAAGCATCAAACTGACCGTCAGTGACAGATTAACAAGGTTAGCCAAAGTAGGATTTGTGTTGCCTATAGCAATAGAATAGGTGTTGATTCAGTAATTAGAAAAATTATTAAATTATACCAGAATGTTTGCAATAAGAAGGGCAATTCAAATGGATGAAAAGCTTGAAATCCATTGATACCAAAGCATCTTGTGGGAATCTTGCTAAACATCATGTAATCTAACAAAGAAACATTATGTGCCAGCCACCTAATTCGCAGTGGCAAAAAACTGGAAGATGACCTAAATATCCAGAGAGAAGGCAGCATGAAGTACTACAAAGTGGCCATTGACAATCCAACAGGTCATATTTGGATTGGTAATACGTACTCCAATCCTAATCACTTTCTCCAGGTGGAATACCAGTAATAAATTCAGATTATAATAGAGTGTTCAGATAATAATAAGCGTTCAGATATTGCAGTCTTCATAGAAAGCATCATAAATACACAGGAAACCCAAGCAACACAACACTTCATGCTTATTCACAGCTTGAGGCAATCTTATCAATCCTTCAAAGCTCACTGAACACACTACCTCAAATAGAAAGCATTAACCAAAATTATTTTTACCAGTCTAAGGTGAGACAAATGTGTTTCTGAAGCATGCTAAAGCTACAAAAGGGTGTGCAATGTGCTTATTAAATTTTAACAATTGAAGCATGTTAAAGTTACAAGGATATGAATTAATAAACCCTCAACTGCTCTCATCATTAGAAAGATGAATTTTGTCTTCTAAGCATTTCCTATTAAATATCATTATCATTAATATTTATAAATGTATTTAGCTTTCAAAAATGGCATAAAAATTGCTGAAAGAAATAGCAAAGATGTAGGATTTCAGTAGACACTTCACAACTTAGCAATCCTAGATGATGATGATGATGATAATGATGAATGAGGCCTTCTATAGTTCACTAGTCCTTCACAGGACAATCTCCACTCTCTAGGAAGCATCCAATTCAGTTGAATCCTGCATCCCCAAAGGAAAACCAAGGGTTAATGGGTTCTTTTTGACCTCCTTGCAGGGTTGTTAGATCTTAGCAGATCCGTATAGCAGCCAGTTGTTGCCCTGATTTTTGTTGGGAACCATCTTTAATCGATGTAGATTTGCAAATTCCAAGGTCTATTTTTACCTCCTTTACCAATTAACCGGTTCTGAATAAACATGTAATAGCTCTATTCTCTTCCCACTTTCCCACTATCAAACTAGCCATGTTTCCTACATAACCAATCAAATACACTTACAGAAGATGCAAGAACAAAACCAATAATTGTTAACTTGTAAAGAGTAGTAATAACAATCATTATCATTAATATTCATGCAGTTCTGTTACTTATCATCCATATCTATGGCTAACAGAGAATAATTATTGCATGAAGTCTTTCAACTCATTGTAATGGTAAAATCTTGGGATGACAAGCATGGGAACACAGGTTTTAGTCTCAGAGCTGCCACTTTGCGGAAAAAAAAAAAAAAAATCAAAAGCTGGGTCTGTATCGAGTCCACCCCTTCCAAGATCCCATACAGCTGGGACTAACATTCAGTAATGGGTTTTACTTTCAAGAAGAAATACCACCAGCAAATGAACTCCAGTATATGAGAAGCAATGCTCATCCACTTGATAGCTCAAGATTCTTCCTATCAGATTGGCCAATCACATCAGCAATCCTTTTCAAGAAATCATAACCCTAAATATATTCAAACAAAAGTAACTTGCATACTGTTTATTAGAATAGAGAAAGAAAAATATAGACTATAACTTACAATTCAAACCTACGAATAACCAATTCATTCTGAATTGCTTATCCAATTATCAACTTTGGTATTTATCTACTTTAATTAATTTTCGAACTGAAGCAAAAATAATGGGCATCCTGTTCAATGTCTTATTGGACTGTCTAACCTGGACTGGATCCGACTGGTTCAATTCAATGTCTTATTGGACCGACTGTCCAACCTGTTCAACCTAGACTGAATTGGACTGGTCCAATTCAATGTCTTATTGGACTGACTGTCCAACCTGTTCAAACTGGATTGGATTGCATTGCTCCAATTCAATATCTTATTGGACCGACTGTCCAACCTGTTCAAATTGGTTTTAATTCAGATTATGTCCAACCCAAACCTGGTCCATTGACACCCTTACTCTTATCTCATGTTAATGGACTGGATATTGGTTTAACCCAACCTAGTCCAATATAATCAGATTACAGATGGACCAGGTCCAATCCGATCCAAATTTTATAAAAAAATTATAAGAAAAAAAATTACCAGTGAAGAAAAAATGTCCAACCTAGATGCATGGCATATGCCCCAATATCCTGAAACAAATCATTTGCTCAGTCGAATTAGATAAATACCAACATTTTGCAAATCAATAAGCTGATTATAGGCCATTTGCCATAACTTACATGTTCAGTTAGTTATAGTTGCAGAAGCCACACATATAGGAGAGGTAGCAGCTGCTTCAAGATCCAATTCTAAAACATTACCATACACAACCAAAAACACATTAGAAACAAAAATATATAAATAAACAGAAACATATAGAAGAGATAGTTGTTGCTTCAAGATCAAATTTTGAACTCACTTCTTGTAGTTGGAGCTTCTAACCAATCTTGCCCATAAACTAGAGCCTCCATCGTCTCTGGAAGTAATGAAGTATGATACTGATCAACTATTCTACCCCCAGTATTAAATGTTCCCTTGGATGCTAGAGTGGATACTGGAATTTCCAAAATATCACATGCCAATCTAGAGAGTTTCGGAAGCTTGGGATCACCAACTTGCCAAATCTCAAAATATCAAATTCTTCACCTCTAGGAAATAGTTTTTCTCAATGTTCAAAAAGTCAGACCGGGCATCGACCCAGAAAAGGGAGAGGTTCATGGGTCAAAGGTTCAAGCGGGATAACCAGAGGTTGAACTGTGTGTGTGTGTAATTTATATATATAATATATTATAAATTATATACTAGATTATAATATATTCAAAATATATAATTATATTCTTCTATAACATATATTTTTTTATTTTAGTTTTTATTTCCTTATATTAAAATTAAGATTTGAAGAAAAAAAGGCATTTTTTAGAAAAAATAGTGGGGCAAGGCACCTTTTGCACATTAGGAACACGTAGATCTTGAAAAGTTTCCAAAATTAAAAAAAAAAAAAGATCACCCCAATCGGATATCCAAGCGCAAAGTTATGGCCTTCAGAAATTTGCATTTATGTGCTAAAAAATTTTAGAAAACCAGCTGGTTTTTTTGAAACCAAGATTGGGTCGCTGGTTTTTTTGTTCAACCGTCTGGATCACTGGTTTTGTCCAGTTTTTACATATTATGATTTTGGGAGTATGACCGAACCGACCAGGGGCCTAGGTCAAGGTTCAACCAATCCAACCAGCTGGTCCAATGTGGTTTTCAGAACACTGGTTTTCTTCAAGATACAAGTCCAAGTCTGACTTCTGATTCCTAGATAATATTCTAAAGCTCTTCAATTAACCACCGATCAAAACCGCTCAAAAAATCTACAACACCACGAATCCTACTGGCTGAGATGCACTATTAAAACCTGCAGGCAACCTCTCCTCGGTATCAATACCCACATACTCTGAATTTAAGTCATTTAGTGCCTCTCTAACTCTTATAACATGCCTCTCAACAGTCTCTCCGTAAATGAGATTGTAGTAATATGTTACAATGCCCATCTAAAGTTGTGTCCAATATGTCATATGTGGAGTTCCATCGCGTTGGACAAGCAACAACCACCCCTCTTTTATGATATACTTTTGCTTGGCTACTTGCATTGTCAAATTTTTGCTTCTTATGTGGTGTCAACCTTAAATATTTAGCATTTTCTCGAATCTTATGCGGCAATGGAAATATTTCTTTCAACCCATCGTGCATAATAAGGTTTAAGATGTGAACAACACATCTCACATGAAATAAGTCACCATGCAATGAAAGCAAACCCTTAACAGACTCAAATTCCTGAGTTCTCTAACCATAACATCATTGTTAGAGGCATTGCCAACTGAAATAAAACATATTTTTGATCAATGCTCCAAGTCAACAACCTCTCCATAACAACTTCATATAAAATTTTTCCATCATGAGGACACCCAACTGCCACCAATGCAACAATTTTCTTCTTTAACTCCCATCTATCATCTGTAAATGTGTCGTTAAACAACCATACCCCAATTTTTTCTCTGAAGTCCACATGTAAGTAATTAAACAAATCTGATAAGACAAACCATCAAAACATTTATATAACTTCTCCTTTTCATCTAAGTAAATCTTTATGACATCATTTTTATTGTATTTCTCAATACAAACCTAAATAATGGTTGAAGATTATTAATAAATATATGAAAAATGCTCTTCTTCAACTATGCTAAAAGGATGCTGATGCTTCATTATCATCTTCACTAAATCCATTCGACTCCTATTTTGTTCGAATTTAAAATTTTCAACAATTTCTTGTTCACTAGTGCCCTTTTCTTTTAATGTCGAACATTTTGGTACATGCCCTTATAGGTGGCTCATCCATTTAGAACTTCCTCCTATATATTGTTTTTCACAATGTTTACAAATAGCTCTTTACTCCTCAAAATCCAATTTTATTTTCTTTAAGTGTTCCCACACTTTAGACTTAACCCTCTTTCATCCATCCTTAATGCATCAAAATAGAAAATAAATAAATCGGTTTTCACACTAACATGAAATACAAGAAAATTTAATGAGATTCATATGGTAACACTTATGACTTAAGTACTAATAAGTAATAAATATTAAATAAGCTCAGTTGTTCCCAAGAGTCTGAAAGAGATCAAATAGAGTAAACAAATATAATACTCAGGAAAGAGTGATTCCATGGAACAAGGAACTTGTTTACAAGTAGGACTATCAATAGGTTGGATATTGGTCCAACCTGATCCAATCCAACATAAGTCCATTACAGATGGAACAAGTCCATTAAGTCTGGACTGGTTTTATTCAACATTATCTTATTGGGCAGTAAAACCCATTCAAATTGGTTTTGATTTGGATAGGGTCCAACCCAAACCCAATTCATTGAAACCCCCATTTACATGGATGCAGTTATTATAACAATACAATCACTCATTTAGTCCCTTCATTCTTGGTTCCATAAATCCCTTCATCATTTTCATCTTGTGCGTTGAATAGGTCTCTTCTAGTATAAAATTAAAAACAAAATCCAATTGGATACCAAATTTAAGTTGAGCCCTGATGGCTCAAATCATTTTCAAATTGCATGAGATTGATTCAGAAATTTTCTGACTATTAACATTTAGTCATTTACTAATTGGCTTTCAATGATGTATGAGATATGAAATAAAATCCATTGATTTGATCTTCTAATATTATTAAATATTGTATCATTTTTAGTGTTCCAAATATAATAGAAAAGCAATTATCAAAAAATATAGAAAAAAAGTAATTGCAATATCCAAAGTACCCAACCATGAAAATTATTTCCATCTAGCTTATAATTTAAACAATCCAATTCGATAAAAGGTTATTTACATCCAACTAATAACATGTTCAAATCAAATGGTTTTATTCATCGTTTTCTCATTTGGAATGACAAAGGAGCAATGAAATATCTGAATGAGCAAATCGCAGAGGACCTTACTGTTGGAGATAGAGAGAAGCGAGATAGAGAATTGCTAGAAATAGGATCACCAAGGAGAGTAAGAGAACGAGGGAATAATGACTGCTGTCACTACAGAGAGTAAGAGATAAATCACCAGAGAGAGGGGAATGCCACTGGGAATACTATCAGAGTGAGGAGAATATTGCTAGAGAAAAAACCTTATTTGGTTGTTTGTTCAATCACCGGAGGTTGGAGCGGTGAAACCATAGTCTTCGAAATTTTAGAAGTTTCAAATCAAAGGGAGCTGGACCTTCAGACTCATTAGTTTTGTCCAAATTCTATAGACCATTATCTTTGGACCAGTCCAAATCCATACAAACCTTTAGATCATCCAATCCGTCCATAACACCTTTGATTTGGACGAGGTCCAACCCAAAATTAGTCCATTGGCACCTTTACTAGCAACCCCATTAAGTGCATCTTTGTAATTATGTCTACTAAGATTAGATTAATAAAAGTAACTAGGAGAAAGGAGAGAGAATTGATCGAGCTCTCTTCTCCTTCTCCCTTCTTCTCTCACCATCTTCATCTTCTGATTTCTACTATCCTCTCTTCTTTTCTTCGATTTACAGATTGAAATATCTTTTTTCTTTTGGGTTGGTTTGCATCTAAGAAGAAGAAGCATATATGTACCTGTAATAGTCAGTTCGAGGAAGAGAGTTGCAAGTCAAAGCTTGAAGTTGGAGGTAGTCATAGGTTTGTCAAGCAAATCAAGCCCTAGCTTGGGTTTCTTCTCTTGTAGCAAATGAATAGAATGGACATTGGAGGGTCATATCCTCCCTTTGTAAATTAAATTTGTGATAGCATATATAACAAGGACTACAATATTTCCATGTACCCACCAAATTAAAACTTAGAAATAATAATTTTTTCATGAGAAAGAACTTAGAAATGATAGAGTAGTGTAAAAGCTTAAGGCATGTGAACTGCACACCTCTAATATAAGACATTAAAAAGGTGCACGCCCCCTGCTAGGCATATGCCTCTGTATATACTTTTATAAAAGAGGCCTAAATATCACAGATCTCCACACTTCTTTGTGCCTCTAGGCATTTTGGGAGCACCTCGCCTAGAGGCACCTCTAGGTGTATAACCCCCACGCCTTTTAAAACACTGTTCCAATTCTTAGAGAATGTTGAGTGGTCTTCTTAGATAAAAAATTTATGGCTATTGATGCATGTAATGGCTTCTTGAAGGTATAAGAAAGAAAATAAAAAGAGAGAAAAGAGACAATATCCAGAATCACTCTAGGGTATGGGAATCGCTCACAATAATTCGCATAAGCTCAAGAAAACTCAATAAACTTCATTGATCTTTGTGTAAAACGTCCATACATATTTACAGACTCTAGACTCATAATAATCCTAGGAGAACTGTTAGACTTATAGTAATCCTAGTAGGACTCAAACTAATCTGTCAGATCCTATTTCAATTCAAAGACACAGTAACTACAATCCTACTCATGCAATGACTCTGAAACTTTAAACATGGACAAACCATAAATAGAAAAACCAGATCATATCATTGGACCCACACAAAAATGTAAAATGAAAAAATTACCCCTGGTGTCCAATTCAGTCCAAATCCCCAGTACCATCACTATGCCAAATCAAGACCTGTTGTAAAGGTTTCTTCTTTCTAGAATAAGGTTTTAGAGGTGCTGATTGATCCCTATCCCAAACTCACCCAAACCACAGGATTTAAACACTTTCAAATGGCCCAGTTTGCTAAGCATAGTTTATCTACAGATATCTGGTTGGATCATATACCTGACTGAATTCCACCAGTATCAAATTTTGTATCTCTTTCTAATAGCTAATATATTTCTTTTATATAGCAGGGAAAAAAAACACCCTTTCAGTTTTCTCTTCTCCAGCAATAACCAGATCAATCCAACAAGAAAAAACAGTCCAGCAAGAGAAAGAACTAATACAAGTGCAGAGACTTCAAACCAATACTCCCAAGAACTTCCATAAGCATGAATACTCATGTCTGACCCCTGTAGCCCTTGTAGGATACCCCAACAGCCTTGATACCATGTTTTCTGGTTCAAATCTGAGTTAGAGAGTGAAAGAAGAGAGAAATAGCATTCCGAAGGCAAAAAAACAGTGGGTGGCCACCCCTCGTGTTATAATTAGGGTGATCATAAATAAAATGAAATGGAAGGTATGCCCCTAATACAATAAACTGTACAATAATAACACAAACAATAAACATCATTTTTGTAATTTCATTTGGGATCGCCCCCTTTTCAATGAGAAAAATATACATGTCAAATAAAAGAAATCAATGAAGCAACACAATAATAAGAGGCTTCTCGTCCTTGTTATAGCCCATTTTAAAATTAGGTGTTCTAGTTGTTCTATATAATTGACAGAAATTTAATAACCACACATATAAGAAGACAAGCAAAAAGAAGAAGAAAAAGTGAGAGAATGATCTTGAAAATCTTACTCTTCTAAATAGGCCAAGGCACCATAATTTAACTTGATGACTTTTCTGATCTTGCTCATCTTCCATTGTTGAAAAAACAACTTCTCTTCTCTTCCACTGATAGTACTTCTACAAAGTCATGCAAGGTACTGAAACCAACAAAGGAAAACAACACTCTAATATGCGTAAGCATATCAAAACTAAGCAAACTAACAACTTAACAGAAAGAAAACATTAGAGCCATGCTTCAGTTGAAACTTCCTCCTCAGATTTCTGCTTAAGAGTAGCGGTTTAACATAAATAATTTCAGTAGGAAATACCAATATGCACAAGAGCTACTCAATTGCAGTAATGAATTTGTAAGCACAACAAAGGAAAAATTGACAAGTAATTATGACCAAAGATTTTCCATTTTGGTAGAGTATACAGAACCAATGTCATAAGAATCATGCATCATGCAGAAATATAAAGGTGCATGATTAAAATGTGAAAATGGGAAATGTATCAATAATAAGCATGAGAAACCAAGTCCAAAACAAAATCCAGGGACTGTAGAGGTGAAGCAATCTCAGCTTGAAGTTATCAAACATTCACCCAACAACTTGCATTAAGAACTAAAGAGGTAATGAACTGGACTAATCCATGACCTAGGAAAATAATCCCAAAAGACCAAAAGACTTGCTCAAAGCAAGAAGACTCCTAATTGATATCAGCTACAACAAACTCAGTTTCAGACTCACTAACTGAAACACGACTAAGATAGACTTAAGACAATCGCTGTCCACCTGGATATTCAAACGGCGACATTTCTTTGCAAGCTCAGAATGGCAATATGCTTCTACCATTAACACTGGGGATAATGGATAAAGGAACTATCAACATTTATGAACCAAATCTTACTAAAGTGTCAGAAAAAACAATTCACTGACCCCTCATTCATGTGAAGTTTGAGGGGCTTGGGTAAAAAAACCTGATTTTTTTTATAATAAAAAGAAAATATTTTATTAAAAAGAGAAAAGAGAAGAGTACATTCAACACTAGGGTGCTAACACAGCACCCAAACCAACCAAAACAACAAAAGAAAAGGTGCACAAATACATCAGAGTAACCCTCCCCTGCCTGACATCAACGATGATCATCAGCTTCAAACACCTTCTTCCTGTTTGCTTCCTTCCTTGAACCACACCTCTCCTCCTCTCCTCCTTCCCCTACTACGATCAACTTCAGCCTTTCTTATTTTCTCCCCTTTTCAAAAGCTTCAAAGGCCAAACTTGTGAACTCCCCACCGCCCCAGAAAAACAAGCCTAAGCTCTTACATACTAACCCTAACATTCCTATCATTCAAACTCTTCATCTCTGCTCCCCCTCCCTAATCCTAACTAACTGATAGAGCCTCATCAACTCCTTCCTCTATGTCACAGATTCCTTTCTTCTCCTTCTCAACCTGTGAAATTAGCACTAAACTTTCCTCAGGTAAGATCAATAGGCTGAAGCTCCACCCCACCTAGATCTTGAAACTCAACTCCCCTCCCCTCAACGGCCTCCTTATTCAAAACCTTGACCTTTGATCCTTTTTTCCTACAAATTCTCTTATATCTGTTTGTAGGACTGGCCCCTACCCAACCATCTTTTAGTCTTGAAAAAATTTTAGTGACAGACAATGTGAGACTTAGAGCACACAAAGGCTTTCCTCAACATCATTGAATCACAATTGGCATCATTGTTGGTCGCAATCTTTCATTGCCAACCCAGATTAATTCCAAGCCTTCTGATTGGAACCTCAATATTCAAGAATCCTCACAACCTTCCTGCAAACCACTTTCTCCCTCATTGCCCATGTCCTTTGTGCAGCAAATGTCTCCTGAAAACTTGTCTTCACCCCTTTTAGGAGCCACCCCTCCTCTCCTTCCCATCCTACAACTCCTATCCCCCCTTACAACTCCACATCTTCTACCTCTCCTCCCTTCTCCCTTCTAAGCATTCAGCAATTTGATCTGTTGAGATTGTTCAACCCACTTGTACCTCATCAGGTTGAATGTTAACCAAGAAAGATCCAAAACAAATCATGTTAACAGGCAGTCCATCAAGCTCCAACCTCTTCTCAATGCTTTCAATGCTTTGAGCAGAAATCACTGTTTGGAAATCTAGATGAATTCCTTGTGAAGAGAAAGAAGAAGAAGATGAAGAGTTTCAACAGTAGAGAAGAAAAGAGAAGAAAGAAAGAGTAGGATGTCAACCAGAATTGAATTAGGTCTGGCCGCCAACCCCTCATTATATTTTATACTTAACTTGAAAGAATAAGAGATTATAAGAATGCCCTTAGTAGGGCGGCTACTAAAGTAGCTGAACAGTCAACATAAGCTAATGGGCCTAAATCCCAACAACTTCATAATTTAACAACTTAAAAAATAAGAGCTAAATAACTGGGCCCAATAACTAGAAATCGGCCCAACTCAACACTCTCCCTCAAGTTGGGAGTAAATGTCACACATTCCCAACTTGCGTAGATCATGCTCTAGCTTGTTCCTTGCAACACCTTTTGTGAGAACATCAGCAAGCTGCAAATTAGAAACAATGTATGGGAGACAAACTTCCCCAGAAGTCACCCTTTCTCTGATGAAATGTCTATCCACTTCAACGTGCTTTGTCCGGTCATGCTAAACTGGGTTATGGGCAACGCTGATTGCTACCTAGTTATCACAGTACAACATCATAGGTTCTTCTGCCTATACACCAATCTCTCCTAACAAGGAACGGATTCAAAGAAGTTATGAAACTCCATGTGCCATGGCCTAGTATTCAGCTTCAGCACTTGATCTTGCCACCACTATTTTTTTCTTACTCTTCCATGAGACAAGGTTACCCCCAACAAGGGTGCATACTCCTGAAGTAGATTTCCTGTCATCAAGGCATCCTACCCAATCTGCATCTATATAAGCCTCTAGTTTCAACTGTCCATGATCAATAAACAATATGCCTCTGCCCAGGTGTCCCTTGAAATAAGCAAGAATCCTGTCAACAGCTTCCTAATGTTGGACTTGTGGAGCATGCATATATTGACTGACCACACTTACTGCATAGGAAATGTCTGGTCTTGTCATACACAAGTATAGTAGCCGCCCCACAAGTCTTCAATATCTCCCAATGTCCTTTATTGGCTCACCTTCTGATGCATTAGCTCTGTGATTCTAATCAATAGGAGTATCGATTGCCTTTGTTCCAAGCTTCCCTGTTTCTTGWAGAAGATCCAAGACATACTTCCTCTGAGAGATAAAAATTCCATGTTTTGATCTTGCAACTTCAATGCCTAAGAAGTATCTAAGTTCTCCAAGATCCTTAATTTCAAATTCTCTATGTAGATTCTTCTTCAGACAATCAATCTCACTTGGGTCATTCCCTGTGACAACAATATCATCCACATAAACAATTAGGACTGACACCAAGGATCCCCTCCGCTTCATAAACAAGGTATGGTCAGATTGAGTCTAAGTGTAGCCAAAAGCAACCAAGGCTTTCCTGGAACCTGTCAAACCATGCTCTGGGAGACTACTTTAAGCCATAAAGTGACTTCTTAAGTCTGCATACCTTTCCCATTTCAGCATCACTGTAGAAACCAGCAGGAGGATCCATATACACTTCATGGTTTCAAATGTCGCGAAATGTCGCTAATGTCGCCCGACATATGTCGATGTCGAGGCTCACCGACATGAAAATGGATGGTAATATAAAAATT